AGCTGTTGAGTTCAAAACTGCCTTTGAGCCACACATTTTATGCAGACTTCTCTCAAGCCAAGAAATCTTAATTCCACACTGCAAAGTTTTGAAAACTATTAATTAACCTATTAAACTATTAAATTCCATTAATATGAGAGAGCACTTCTCCCCACCATCTTTACTGAGATACGTATTTATTAAGTGCTGACAGTTAACTTTCACGAGACTCTCAAGGAGATCTGGTCCTTATTCTGCAAATTTACAAAAACTGGGCTGAAGGTGCCAAAAAACACAACTGTATTTTATTATTATTTAAATAATGAATTTGTGATAGCATTTTACTCTGAAGCAATGGAAAGCCCTGCAGGGAAATGCCTCCTTCAACAAAGGTTTGAAAATTATTTTTGTTTAAATAACAGCTGGTCTTGCCTATATGGACTTAAATGAGCCATGTGGAGACAAACTTGTTTCAGTTTGGCTAAGATAGATTAAAAAACATTAATTCTAGTTAATATCCATCTTGGTCCCTCTACACAGATGGGAAAGATAACATTAAATTACCATGCTTACATACAGTCAATACCAGACACCCAATAAAGCACAAATTCAAAGACCTGCTCATAATGCAACTGATGCACACAGTTCCAGCAGAACAGCTCAGCTGCAAGTTAGCTTGAAACAAAAGAAATTTACATGAATTTCTTCACTTTGCCAGAGACTTCCTGCATGACCTTAGACAAATCACTTGTTTTTTGTGTGCTATAACTCCTCACCCCTAAAAATGGGGAAAACCACTTGTTCCATAACCTCACATCAATAAGCAGATCTACCATCAGGAGATGCTTAGATACAGAGGTAGAATAAATTACACACAGTGAATAAAGAGTACTTAAAGTTTGAATTAATTTCTCTTAAAGCTTTGGACTTTTCATCACAGAGACAGAAGGAAAGCTTTTGCACAACACTCCAAAGTGTCACCAGCAAACAAAAGTCAGGTCTGCCTACAAAGCAAGATAGAAGCATATTTTGACATGTGCAGACTCAAAGCAAAGGCATGACACCTCCTCTGTTACCAGCATATACTAAAGAACAAAAGTAATAAATTTCTAGTTACTTTCTTTAATTCCTGTTTTAGAGTTCAAACTCTCTGATATAAAACCAAGTAGGAGATCATCAGATACACTCTCAAAAGAACTTAAACACTTTAGGTCCAAACAGTCATTCTCCAATTCATATTAACCACTAACTACCTTTTGAACTTGAAAGTCATATTTAACTTTCATAACTCAGTATTAATATTGGGAATCAAACAATCTTGCAAAAATTAAAGACCTCCAGAGCACTGGCCTACTGAAAATAATGAAGAGGACTAAAATCCATTCAGACGTAGTTGCCAAACACACATTACACCAGGACACTTATGAGGACAGCATTGCTCCCAGCAGGAACCCACGAATTTGCAACATGTATTAAATGTATATTTTTAGAAAATGTTTTCAAGTCCAAAAATCTACATTTTGAATGCAAGCCAAACAGAAACTGTTTCCATGCACATATTCTGCACTGCTGCACAACTATTGTGCTAGCCTGTGAAAATCAAAATCACACCCTGAGGAAGGAGACACAAATGCACAGGGAGTATGATAAATGAAACAGCCAATGACACACAAGCCCAGGTAAACTTTTGGAGGATACAGGTAAGCTATGGAAAAACCAGAAGCAAGGAAAGTGCTGAGGAGAGAGGAAGTTTTGGAGTAAGCTTCCCCTCATATTACCCACATATGTGTAAAAACTACACAGCTGCTCAATCACAGCATATTGAGTGTGCTTGGGGTTTGGGTTTTTTTGGTTTTTGTTTTTTAAACAGATGCTCTGTGGGTTACATACATGAAAATACAGACACTAAAAGCTACAAAAATAAAAATGAAACACTTATTTTTAAGCTATTTTGTTTGAAATGTCAAATGGTTGTCATTATTTGTAATTGCATCTTGTATGTCATATTTTATAAGAAGAAAAATACCTCATGTAAGAGATGGTAAAACAGTTCTTACTAAAAATCATTCACAACCTGAACCTTTATTTTTCAATATGCAGAGCTGCTCTGGGATGTGTTAAATATCTTAAACTCCCATTACTCCCAATAAGACTGAAAGAAGTATTTTGCAGCGAGACCAAAAATTAAAGCACAGCCAACCATGAACTTATATCAAACACCACACATAGAATAGGGGAAAAGACAAACATGGTGGTGGGGGGTGTAAGAATAGATGTCCAGAAAAAGAAAAAGGATTATGATGTTTCCAACATAAAACAGGATACAATTTTGAACAAACATTTTCAAATGTGACTTGAGGCTTTGGCAACCCCTAAAATTGACAGTACAACAGGTAATATGTGGCATCATACATAATGCTCTGAATATGTAAGTTCAAAGATTAAACTTGTAGGAAAGAGCAAGATGCCTAAAAGGAGAGGACTGGCCTCTCCTCCAGTGACACCTGAAAAAAGTCTGTAGAGGCACAAAGGCAGCAGAGTTATGAGGGGCAGGAGGTCAGTAGAAAGGTTAGAATAAGAAAAGTCATAAAGGCAGGAAATTGGAACTAAGTTCTCAAACTATGTATTTAATACCTCCTTCACAGCATGCCAGTAATGTTCATACGAAAGGAAAAAATATAAAGGAAAGCAGTGACACTGTTAGCAGGCTTTCCAAGAACAAATTCTGGCATCTTTAAATATCATGCAGCAACTAGAGTCTCTCATTTGCTTAATCTCCTCAGTCATAAATTGACTATTTCTGTTTTTTTTTTTTTTTTTTTTTTATTTTTTTTTTTCCTTTGGTTTTTTTTTTTTTTTTTTTTTTTTTTTTTTTTTTTTTTTTTTTAGGCTTTTTTTCACAAGAGGTGAAACTTCCCCACAACTGCAATACCTGAAACTCATCTCACTGTCGTGGCAATTGACACCTGCCTGCCTTTTTACAAACCAGCTGCTACAGAGGCAAACTCCCAGTGCTTGACTGCACAACTGGAACCTTGTTAACCATAAGCAGAGCTGCTCTTCTTGGCTCTCAGCAGCATGCCTACAGAAGTAGGATGACTTCTCTCCAAGATCAGCAATACCAAAACTCTTTGGTCACACATATACACACAACAAACCCCTCCACTCACGTTTTCCTACCTATCAACATATTAAAAGGCAGTAACAACTACACCAGATTCATTAATTACTTGCAGGAGTTGCCAGCCTTCAGAGTCACTCATCTGGAAGTCAAAAGAAATGCAGAATACGTGTAACTCCACTATGGATGAAGATTAATTATCACTATTTGTACTACAAACTAATTTTTACTATTATAAATATTTGTAAAGGCTGAAATAACTCAAACTTACTATGTGGGCCTTGAAGCACATTATCCTCAATGGCCTATGTAATTAAAAAAGAAAAACCAAAACTATACTGTATTTTAACAAGTAGTCTGCTAGTTCACCTTTACCTGTGAATAAATCCAATTGAAACAAGGACAAATCAGGGTTCTAACATAATTTACACAAATCTTCAGAAGAAACACGCAATCTAACATACTCATACACTACCACAGCTTTTGGATAGACTTGGAAAGTTCAGTCTGAAGTCCCAGCACCTTGACCATCCAGAAAATTAGTGTTTCTGCCTAGTTTCAAACTAAAACTACCACACTCAGTTTTCTAGAGAGCAAGCAACAGTGCCTGAGATGTGTTTCTTTCCCATGAAAATCATGTTAAGGTAGGAGGAGGAAGGAAAAGCATGTGGACTTCATCCTGACACAGAGCTAGGATGTACATGGGATAGACATCTCCAGCCCAAGAACTGGAAATTTTGTAACGTTCAGGTAAGTCATTACTGTCCCTAAAACAATATTGTCACAACTAAAATTTCAAAATTTATCATTCCAACAGCAAATCTTCTTAGTATCAGATTAGATGTCACACATCACATTTAATCTCTCCTTCAATTAATTATGATCCTAGGGACTGGTACTGAAAGCGTGGCTCTGGACGTGTCAGGCTAACTCTTGTGCTAATGCCTCACCACAGAATAGCAATGACAAAAAGCTTCAATAAAAAGGTTCATGTACATTTATGGGTGGAAACTCAATATGAAAAAGACCAATTTAAACAGTTATTTATAAACATAATTTTCTCTGATTTCTGCTATTACCAACATCAAAACACATAAAACCTCAGCTACAGCAAGAAGATGGGAACAGAGTTATGCACTGGCAACTAAAGCAAACACAGACTAGATTGAAAGCCTCTTTCCTCTTGGATGAGGCAAGTATAACCAAAGATGTTACACTAGTACTGCCTCCTCTCCAAATACAAAGAGGTTCAGCAACACCATGCAATGAAAAAAATCAACCTGCCAGATGTTTTAGAAAAACAATATAAGTTTCTAAAACATACTTAAAAACAAGATACTTTATAAAGGGCAACAGAATATCCCTGCTTTCTGTTTCATCAGGTAAGATGTACATTCCAGTGGGGCACCCACTGAGTGACAAATTTGCACTTCACTTCCACTGTCAGCTGCTGTTCACAACAGAACCCTGAGCTAAAAACCTCAGAGCATTCTCTGCTGCCTTGGCAGGACTCTTATTTATATAAGATTAGTGCAGTCAGGCATTAGATTTATAAACGAAAACCAAAAACAAACAAGGAGAAAGTTTTCACACTCTTCTTTATAGACCAGTTTCTAAAACATACACACACAAAACAGTATAATATATTGAAATGCAATTGTTAAAAAAACAAAACAATCCCCAAAACAAACAGAAAACTGATCAAAATACATACAATCTCTGGAGGTACCCCCACCTGGAAACCATTTAAAATCAGGCAAGCATTCACAAAAGTACTGTTGGCCACCTAAACAGCCATTCCTCTGCTCCATCCAGAGCCTCTGAGTGCAGTTACAACACACAGGCACACTTCAGCCCCCCACCTTCTCCCACCCTCCTCAGGTAAGGAAAGGGCACCAACCTGCAGTTGGGAGGTGGATCTAAGGTGATGTCAGCCAATTCCTTCTGAATCCTGTGGTAATAAAGCAAGAAGGAACATAAGGTAAGACACTGTGTGGGATAGCAGTTAACACATTATCCTTGCAGACATACTGTCACTGTGAGCTTGCCACAGTGTACATAAGAGAGGCACTCTCAGATGTGGCCTCCCACCAGTCCAAACCCCCTAAGCAGGACAGGTGCCCTGCCCTGTTAAAGAGACAGGCAGAAAAGCAGACAGGCATCGTGCACTGAACCCAGACAGGTGCACCGCTCTGCACTCCCACAAAGATGCCAGTCACACAGTGGAAAAGACTGTCCTCTTTGCTCTGCCAACCAGCCTGTAAATGAGGGGAAACCTCTGCAAATGTGATGCACCAAGAAGCAACTGCAGTCTGAAAAGGAATTTTGTCTTACAGAATTGAGAGAAACAGCCATTGCCAAACTGGCTCCCTCCTCTCTCCCCCAGCTTCTCATCACCATCCTGAGAAAAAAAAATCCACAGCCCTGAGGGAGTCAATAACTGCGCCATTCTCAAGGACACTTTAAGGAAGGTGAATATCTATTTCCGAGGCTTCTGCACTTCCTACCACCTTCAGTTCTCCCTTCTCTTCACCCTCAAGAGCCACACATGTCCCCTCCCTAGGACTCCAGACGCTCCCTCTCTCCACTGTGCTCAGCCAACACCCTGTTCTCCCAGCCCAGACTATTCTGGGCTTATGCTGCTTTTGCCACAAAACGCCCAACCAGCTATCATCCCCTTCCCTGGAGTCCCATTACTGTCACTCAGGCTTCCCTTCCAGATTTCCCCACCCAGCACTCAGCCTGTCTCCCTTCTCCTTTAAACTCAGCCAGCATCTCCTGCCACTTGTCACACACGAGAACCGCAGCCTTTCAACAGGAGGCAGTTTAAAATCTTCTCCTTAAAAGAGTGAAGGGCACAACACGTAAACACTGCTTGCCACTATCTATGTCAGTTTGCCATGGAAACCTGCTGAGTGAAGATCTGGAATAACCAAACTGCCTAAATTCTACAAAGCCACAGAGAACTTAGTTGCTACGACAGGGCATTTGCATAAAACCCCAGTCACTTTAGACACCTACTGATACAACCTCTCTGCTGCTTGGCAAAGCTGTTCAGTGAGATGGTTTATTATTCTTACTGAAGTACTGCAAGTTTGCTTGAAAACCTCCATTTGTCAGCTTAGCTCCCTGGAGCAGGATGGTGCTGAATTCAGGTGACACACAGAATAAATAAAAAAGGGAAACTCTTTTTTATTTTTTTTAATTAGTAGCTCAAAAAAGTCTGTCTAAATGAAGAAAACTGACATAGCTGTTCTGGAATTCCTATTCTATGCAGGTGTCTCTCCCTACACATTATTCTGGAATAAAAATTACTTTATTCTCAAAAAAAGCCCAAACTCACTCTGTGCTTTGAGCAAAGACTATTTTAGAGCAGAATGTCCACAAGTGGGCCTGCTGTGGATTATTTATTCCAGTGAGCATCCAACCATACACAGAAAATTCAATATAAGTGATGAGCAGACAAAAGTAACAGTAATGTATTTGTTAGTAAAGATCTGGGGCTATATTACACTCCTCGCACTGCAGTGCACTCCTCCAAAGCAAGCAAGCTCAAAACTTCACAAACATTAATTAATCTCCAAATCAGTTCTGGAAAGAAAAAAAGACACTCTAGACTCCAACCCAGATGAGAGTGAAACAAATGTTGAAATGCAATGCCTTACTTGGGACCATATATTTTCCAGTATTTTTTCCAGTAGCAGAGAAAAAAATAAGGTCTAAATGTCAATCCTACACCATTCCCATAACAAATACTACTAAGGAAAATGGAAAAGAGAGCAGAAAAAATTGAGGGTCAGAATAACAGCCCAGAAGAAAAAAAGCCAGGAAAATATTTGGAATAAGAAGGAAGATGGACCACAAAGCAGTGAAGTTGGTCAGACACTCACTGCAGCTACACTGAAAAAAGAGACAATAGCAGCTTCACGTAGAAAGGTTGAGCAAAGGGCTAGAGATGAGGAATGGGAGGAGCAGGGGAATAGTGCAAAATAAAATGAGGATGAAGGGAAGACGCAACAAATCAGTGAGAAAACTGACTGTAGCCTCACCTCTTGGCACTGGTAGACAGCAGTTTAGAGTTTTTACTCATGCTGACTTTGCTTTCCTTCTTCTTAGGCGTGCTTGTCTCTTTCTCTGTCTGTTGGTTGGAGGATGAAGATGAGGAGGAGCTGGTGCTGGCCCTCGAATCGTCATCCGACATAGCGACCCCCCCACCACACACCCCAACCTGGAGAGGAAACACCACGGGGCATGGGGAACAAACAGTGAACACAAACACACACAGAGAAAGGCTGCTGACAATCTCGCTCTGTGTTTGGATCATGCTCCTTTTAAAGGATCCTCATGTCTCCCTCTCCTCTCTAGGCCCTACACCCATAGCAGGAAGGGCAGTAGCTTCCCCTGCATTAGTAACACTGAGGAGCAGGGGGAAAGGGACTTTAAAAGCTTCCTCTCCAAAAAGCAAGTGTGGAATGAGAGGAGACTGGAATGGGGACAACTGCGAGGATCAGGGAAGCTCAAAGCAATTCTTTCTAATCTCCCCCAAACTGCACACACAAGAGGAGCCATCACCACCCACCACTATCGAGCCTAGGGGTGTAGGAGATAAAAATGGAACAGCTCCGGTCCCTTGGGTTCCCGGGAGGCACGTGGGGGAGGCAGGAAGGGATGGGGCCAGGGGGGTGCCCGTTGCCAGTTCTAAAATGGAAGTGGGGCATCACTGGCAACACAGGGAAGACCCTGGCAGATGTGCGACCTGTGGTGGGGAAACCCCTGCCTGTGGGATCGGGTGCTGGAAGCCGTGAGGGGAGGCGGGCAGGAAGGGAGCAAACCACAGGGAAGGGCTAAGCAGGGAGTGGGGTGCACTGCTGGCACCCCCCGAGGCCCTCCGCACCGAGGGGCATATGCCAGCGGAGGGGGAAGGGAGCAGAGGGTCTGTGCCCGGGGAGACCTGGGGGAAGCAGAGCCAGGGCCTAGAGGGGCGAGAGTGGAGGGCCGGGGAGGCCGGTGTCGGGGAGGGGGCAGCGGGGGCCAGGGCAGGCAGCCCGGGTCTGTGCGGGCACCCCGGGGGCACGGGAGAGGAGGGCGAGCACGGCGGGCTGCCGAGGGCAGGTCCGCACCCCAGAGGGGCGAGAAGCCGTCGGGAGGGATGGGGGGCTGGCAGGGTACCCCGGGAGAGTTCGGGGGAAGGGCTCGGGGTGCAGCCGCGGGCCCGGGGAGGGGGGGGTGCGACACACAGCCGCCTCCCTGCAGGGCTGCGGCCCCCGGGAGCCCCCTGTCCCCGCCGGCCGAGAGCCGGAGGGCGCCCGGCCGAGCTGCCCCGGCCGCGGGCCCTCAGGGCCGGGGGACAGCGGTACCTGACAGCCCCGGCGCGACCCCCCTGCCCCGCCGGCTGCCGCCCCATCGCCGGGCCGCGGCCGGCCCTGCCCCTCGCCTCTGCCCCCGGGGAGGGCGGCGGGGGGTGCCCCGTCCCCCTACCTCTCCCTTTGTGTCTGGCTGCTCCTCCTCGGTGCGGCTGGGCCTGGCCACTCGTGTCTCTCTCGCTGGGAGAGAAGCGGAAGTGCTGCAACAGCAACTATTAAACAGGCAATGGCTTCCCTGGCTGCCTCCCCCACCGCCGAGCGGGGCTGGGGGGCGGCGGGGCCGGGGCGCCACCCGGTGCGGAGCGGGGGGCGGCGGGGGCGGGCGGCGGAGCCCCAGCTCCGGGGATGGAGGGGGATCCCGGCCGCCACGGCCCCCTCCCTTTCCCTTCCCCCGGGGGAGGGGAGAAAGGGGCACACGGAGGGGAACGTGAGTTTTTAATGGAGACCCTCTGAAAAGTAACCTGCAGGGTGTCGGGGGGCAGAGGGACAGGCGCCCTCCCCGGCTCCACTGCTGCTTCCGTGCGAGACCCCCGCGGGGACGCGGTGGAAGCAGGTGGCTGGGAGAGGGGCAGCTCCCGGGGCTGCTTTTTTTAAGGCTCAGAGGGGGTATTAGGCTCGGTGCGGGGGCTGCTTGCTTTCCTCCTATTCTCACAACTGTTTTCAACCCCAAAGCTTCTCCCCTGCCTCACCTGCTTTGTCCCTCCGGCGGCAGCAGCAACTTGTCACCTGTCTCAGTTTGAAAGCAATAAGGGGAAAAAAGAAAGAAAGAAAAAAAAGCCTAGCCCAAAGCCCACTCGCCCCCACCAATCCAGGCAAAAGGAATCCCCGGCAGCTTTCCCATCTCTCACCTGTTTCAGCCCCAAAGCAGCAGCTGTGTCCTCCCTTCCTCCCCCGGCTCAGCCCTGAACCAGCAGCAGGAGCAGCCGCTTCCCACTCGCCCTCGCCCGGAGTTCAGGATTCCATTGTCCCCCACACTGCATTTGGTGACATCACTGACACACAAAGAAGGGGCACTTCGTGATGTCATCAACGCATGCTGGGAGAGAAAACAAAATTCTAGGCTTGGCAGCGACAGCACTAACACACAGACGCTCACAGAGACACACACAGACCTTTCAATTTTCCAAAGGTAAAAGTATTAGGGAATTTTTTTTTCCCCCCAGTCCCCTGATGGGGAGCCCGTCTGCGGAAAAAGGCGTGTTGTATTCGCTAGCGTGTTGTAATCGCGAGGCGATTTACTCGTTTCTCCGAAACCTCTGCTGTCCAGCTCTGGCTCCCTGTCCACCCAACGGAGAAAAGTGATTTGGCTGGAGCGACCCACCGCCCCCGGCCCAGGCGCGGGCAGCAGCCCCGGTGGGCAGCTGCGGCTCTTCCTGGAGGTGCCGGACCCACTCGTGAAGGGACAATGGGGACGAGCATTCCCACCGACCTCACCCGGGGCACATTTGGCTCGCTGCCGCCAGTTTCCACAGCCTATCGAGGGATCGCCTATCGAGTTACTTGGTGTCTTCAGTGGCCGAAAATACACTGGACTGTCTCCACCACGCACCACGGAGTTTGCATGTCACCCTTTGTCCCACGGGAGGAGCTCGAGGTGATCCGCAGGCACACAGGACTGCTGGCTCCACAAGGCGCTGTTACGACACGACACATGGGAGTCCCGAGGGGTCAATTACAAAACCGAAGCCGCAGGAGCGGCGGGGGACGGGGGCGGGGGGACATCCCCGGGCTTGGCATCTCCGCTTCTCAGCGACCACGGGGGGGAGCGGGGGCAGCCGAAGCTGGCTCCTCCTGAAGCTCGGGCTTCCCGTCTGACGCTGCCAGGCACTGCCCGTTCCCGGGCAGCCAGCACGGCCCCGGCGGCGGGCCCGGGTCCGGCGCCCCATTCATTCCCCGCGGCGAGCGGCCGTGCCCAGCTGCTGCTCCCGTGGGACCCGGCCTGCCCGCCCGTGGGACCGAGGGTGTGAAGCTCCCCCCCAGGAAGGAGCCTGCCGCTTAGCTAGGGCGGAGGCTTGCATGGGGATGAAACCCTTCAGGCTAGGACCGGGTAGCGGGTGCCCGTGTCTTCTTTTGGGGTCAGCTGTCAGCCTGGGCATGCTGAGTCCTTCCTCCATGGAACAGCAGCTTCCCACTTTGTGACTAAACACAAGGGTCTGCTCATGGCACTGACCTTTCACCATTTATAACCTGTAATCTTTGAGCCGCTAGAGTGGAAATCCTTGCAGGGACAGTCTTTTCCTCTGTCACTCTCTCCTCTGCATCCTTGGACTTCTGCATCTGCTGTTTTTCACTCCTTACCCTTTCTCTTTCTCCTCCTACACCCATTTTCTGCACACATCTCAGCACCACCTCATTTCCCCTGGGCCAGTCCCCTACACTCCTCAAACTTGCTGCCTAGTCTGCTGTTTGAGCCATTGGAGTGTGCTAGATATGTACACCCCAGTGACACTGCAAGTGTCACCCTGACAACAGAAGGAATTCCACTGCAGTGTCATGCTTAAATGGTCTTTGTGTGTGGGTTTTAATTTTAGGGCTTTTTTTTCCTGCTAACCATGCTCTTCAATCTTTATTACCTGTAGTACCAAGTATTAGGCTTCAGTGAACTTTTAAAACCAGTTTATTAGCAGAGACAGCCTGTCCAGTTTGACCTATGGGAATGACACTTGGGAAGCTATAGTTATCCTACCTTCTAGGAACTGTGGAGCTGTGGCATCTCCACCATTGACCATGGCCCTGAAGACATATAAAAATGTCATAAAATCTGGCGTTTAGATAAAGGTAGATGATCTGATTACTTCATGCTCCTCATTGAACAAACAGGGTCAGAATTCAGCTCCTGAAAACTGCGATGAGCTCCTCTGCCAGCATTTTCCTAACTGACCCAGGGGGCTGTGGAGGATGGAGCTGGCAGTGTGGTGCTGTGTCAGGTGACAAATGCAAAAGATGTGAGGACACAGAGCAAAGTGAGCAGGCTTAACAAATTTCACTTCTTATATGGAATAGCTCTTTTAAAACAGAATATCTTCATTTTATGACACACACAAAAAAACCCAAACAAACCCACCCCCCCAAAAAAAAAACTCCAGCCCTTTCCTGTTGTCACAGGAAACCTTCAAAAAAGTCAAGTGAGACAACTGATATTAATAATGAAAGCCCTCCATTTCTATAATAAGGGGCAAGGAAAATGTAAATATTGCTACAAAATCACACAGGCACTTTTGCTATATAATGTTAATAATCTTGGTGTAGGGGGTGTATCTGTCGATTAAACTTTTCTTTAGCACACAACCCTTGCTAGCCCTATTCAAAGTAATAATATGACAACCAGCAGCAGCAGTTATTTACTTCGAAGCCTACACAAAAAATGCTTTTCCTGAAAGCACCTACTAATGTCAGCGCTTGAGCAGCTGTTACAGTGGCAACTCCCATTTTATGACTCACCTCCTAGGTCATGGCTAGGATCAGCAATGGGCTGTTCTGTGTTAGCCATGCCATACCCAGAGCCCTGGAGGGAGAGGGAGCCAAGAAGCTGACTTCTATGCCCAGAAATGTTTTTGCAGCTTGCCCTTCTTCCGTGCTTAGCCTCTCAGCTCTGCCTGGACACGGAAAAAATGGAAGAGAGTGTCGGACATGATTATTTTTCCACAAAATGGAAGAACTACCTCCTCTAATACATCTCATTCCACCTTGGGAATTTTGACAAAATGTCACTGATCTGCTTCTGTTTCTTTCCTGTAAAGTGTGTGCACTTTATTGGGTGAGCTTTCCTTGCTTTCCTTCTTATCAGTGCTTCCTCTTCCTGTTTCCTTAGTTTTGTTTTGGTTTATTTTTTTTTTTATTTTCTTGGCTAAGTTGTGCAAAGGACTTGCAGAGGAAAACTGACCCAGATTATTCATTTTCCCTGTGCCCCAAGCTTTTTAAATTGATGGCACTAGTTCAGTGCAGCAACTGAATAGGATTAGTCACTTTTCCCTCTGGATTGAGTTTGGAGGAGGCTGAAAAGATAGATGACTGGAATCAAGTTGCCTTTGGGGCTTTGAGCTTAATTCACAACAGAAGGTAGCCAGTTCAAATCGCTCTGTGCCTTCTGCTAAGGGAAGGTGACTCAGATTAGTCCTTTTGTACCATCTCAGTTCCAAATACCTATTCAGCATTATTTCTGGCTGGTCTGTTTGGGTTTGAGCCAAAATGCCTTATATTTCCAGCAATTCCAGTGAGTTCTGCATCAGACCTTTTGTGGGGAGCAGAAAGAAATTATAATTTCTTTGGCTCTCCTAATGTCATCTTGGTGGTAATGTCACGCTTGCAAGTGACAGAGGCAAAGTGAGAAACATGCTGAAACCTCACACAGTCCTGTGATGACACACTTTGTCCTTTCTGTGTGACCCTGTGATACAAAGTGAGGTGGCAAGGAAAAGTTACAACAAGCTCAGGATTTACGATACAACTATTTTAATAAAACTAGACAGAAACTCTTCCAAAAGAGGAAGGAACTTCACTGAAATGAGACAAAACGTAACAGAGAAACTACAAGTGGCTTATGTATGTGACATAAGATGGTGAATTTACACATTGGTTTCCTGTTCACAACTATCTTGCCATAACTTAATAAAGCTGTCCATCTTCCCTTGCTGTAATTTTCTCACACAATACAGCTTGGGTTAGTCCTTAGAATTGTATTTTTTTCAGTTCCTTACAGAAAAATGAAAGGGTCCACAAGCAGAAAAATACTTGTTTCCTCTCCTTTTATTCCAACAAAAGAGGACTTAGTTGTGGCAGACAAGTTTAAGTCTCATTGTCAGATTTTTGCTATTTACTACTTGGTTTTGGTTCTGTTTGAGGTTAGGCCTGGGATCTGTAGGCTTGTCTGGGAGACTCTCATTGTGAACAGAAATACCTGAGATCTGTTACATGTTTTTGCCATGTTAAAGCCCTGGCTGAATCCCTATAGATGCAGAGACTGGCTGGCAACTAATTCCAACAGCTTAAGCAGAGAAATATAGCTGCCTATAACTACACGTATCTGCTGCCTCTACTGTGCTCCTTTTGAGCATCTCTTGGTATATGGTCTGGTTCGTTTTGGTAATTGAAAAACTGGAGATGCTTAGATCAATTCAATTTCACAGCCTCATAAGAAGTTTCACAAGATATATATCCAGGGGATTCTGCCTCACTTCCAGGTGATAAGATGGAGTCTTAGAATTGCTTTACCTTGAAGATACAATGATTCACTGCTTTCTCGGTTTGCCCAATCTATAGCTATTATGTAGCAATCAAGACTGAGCTATGTGGTGCTTCCCTTGTCTGTGTTTCTGGCATTGACTCAGTATTTCTGATTTTCATTTTCCATCCTGTAAAAGAAAATAATTATATTTATCTGGAATTAGACTAAAAGTATAAATAGAGGTGCACATTCAGACTTTGCTCATAGCCACTCATTAGATTTTTTTTGTCACTTCCTTTTTGTGCCTGATGGATTGATCTCCTTTTCTGCAGAATGCTGCCTCTCTGTGCTACCAGTGGTCTCTGTGCTTCCTTGGGCTTTGCAGTAGCTGGCTCTGCTTTCCTTCATGGAATCATAAAATATTATAGTTGGAAGGCACCTTAAAGATCACCTAGTTTCAACTCCCCTTCCATGGGAAGGGACACCTTCCACTAGACCAGGTTACTCAAAGCCCCATCTGAGTTCCCTGGATTTCTGTATTACAGACACTGACTTTTCTGTTCTGGCAGCGCATGCTCCCCTAGTTAAGATGTTTTCCCTGTATCTGCCTATTTTTCAGTTTACAGGAACTGTTACTTTATTGATCATCATCAGCTTTCCATTTCTACATACCCCTTTTCCTTGGTAGCAGTATTCAGGTTCTGAAGAAACTCAGAATAGTGGAGGGATTATACTAGCTTAAGCAGTAAATGGACTATCATCAAACAGTAGTGCCGCAGGTAAGATCCCAGGGTGATGGCATTCCTGTTGTCAAGCGCTCTGGAAGAGATGAAAGATGTGGGCCAACATGACCCAGACAAATG